ATATATATATATATATATATATATATATATATATATATATATATATAATACTGTAGAGAGGATTACAAATCCACAAAATCAGAAGCCAGACGTAGCAGCCATCGAAGCATTCTGTGTGATGCTTACTAAAGAAACAGAGGGTATACAAATAGGTATCAAGTTATTGGCAACGCAAATTCAATCACTTAAGGAATCAGAAGCACTACAAGCACTTTCGGTATGTTGTCTTTATATATGTTGCACATTAGTTCAATAATAACTACTCATTTAGTTATTAAATAGAATATTTAAATTTATTAGTAATAAAATTGGATAGATAGCATAATATTATTAATAAGACATTTATATTAGTAATCCTATGCTACTTCTAGTGTGAATTGAATTTTAAAGCAATAATATATAACTTAATAAGATAATACAAGATAATGCTTTGATCTTAACATTTTGAGAACTTGAAATTTATATATATATATATATATATATATATATATATATATATTTTTTTTTGCAAATACATTTGTACACAAATTCTATAGATTTTTGTTTTTCAGTTACTAGATACTTGTATGAAGAGATGTGGTCCGTTATTTCATGCGGAAGTTGGTAAATTCCGTTTTCTTAATGAGATGATAAAATTGGTCTCGCCAAAATATTTAGGTAATCGCACTACAGTGAGTGTACGGCAAAAAGTTTTGCAACTTCTTTATGTATGGATCAGAGAATATCCTCGCGAATCAAAAATTAAGGAGGCTTACGAGATGTTGAAGAAGCAAGGAGTCATTGAGGTTATATCTTTATTAGTTGTTATATTAGTTATTAATCTGATAATTGTGTTTGCAGATATATTCTTGTCTTTCTAACGTGATAATACTAAAAGCACAACAAAATATGCAGTTAGTCTCTAATCTCGTGGTTAGATATTTGATGTGGAACTGTCATCTATCAAAAACAATGGAATCTCAATTTTGTCGCCTTATATGCAAAGTTTTAAAAAATAATGATATATTTTACTCATTGATTGATAAAATAAAGTCATACACTTTTCGGAGTTATAAATACTTTTTGTTTACAACAGAGTTAATAGTAATTACAGTGATCAGCATGGCAGAGAAAGATCAATAACATAATCTACATCTTGATTTAAATCTTCTGATTTTTAATTATGGAAATATTTCAAGATTCTTGTTTATGATATTCTTATGATATTGTTAATAGTACTCTAAAATTGTATTATTTTTGTGGCAAAATTTGAAATACTCCACAAATATTTAATTAGATATCTTTGACAGTCCACAAAATATTGATGCATGACATGCATTGCTATGGAAGGAAATTAGCAATATCTTTAACGAAATATTTTTACTAAACTAGCGTAAATAAGAAGTGTTAAAATACATAAATACATCGTTATTAAACCATAAGAATTTTGTTTAAAACAGTTTTACATATCTCTTATCGTATATTTTAATGATATAGACTTATTATATAGAGACATTTAGAAACATAAAAGTAAATTTTCTTCAATGGAAGTTAACCTTTAACATGCATAAGAGCATTTATAAAAATGTGTTTTATTTTGATCTATACTACATCATGTTCATGATCTTAGACTTCAATGTTCAAATTAGTTATTACTTTGCAATATGGGATAAAAACGAATTACAGGAGGATGCAGCATTTATAATGGCAAACAGTGAAGAAATTCAAAAATCGTCTAAAATAAAAAGTAATATATTTGAAAATGAAGAAATGTCAAGGCATTTGCGTAGATTACTTCATAGTAAGGATCCTTCTGATCTACAGACTGCAAACCGACTGATCAAGTTTATGGTGAAAGAGGTATTTAGTTTCAGAAAAATATTTGGAATGAGATGTTTAGAAAGGTTGAGATTCAAATACTTCATTCTTCATATTTTTTGTTCCGGACATTTATTAAATCTTTTTCTTAATTTACATCTTTTTCTTTATTTACATGTTTTTCAAAAATTTTCATTATAAATTTATATTTTTGCAGGATGAGGAACGACTGCAGTTAAACTCGCGAAGAGGAATAGAATTAGAATCTGTGCAAAACAATGTAATGCTACTGTCAGAAATGTTAGATTCATATAATCAGAATGAAACCAGTGCAGAGGATCTTGAATTGATGAAGGAGTTGTATCAAGCATGCGAGCGACTGAAACCTATTTTGTTGAGACTCGCCAACGAAACTCAGGGCAATGTCGAAATGCTTGGTATCTTGTTATATTTAAACCTAACGATTTACTCGGTAGATTTTATATTATTAACAGAATATCCTAAACTGTCGTCTAGAAAATTCTGTTAATAATATAATCAGTTCAAAAAATTTAAGCCATAATTACGTATTTTAAGACTAAAAATCTTATTTTTCACATTTGTACGTGTGATCTGACGAAAGAGTCGAAAACTATGGGATATTTCAATTTTTAGATATCAGATTATTTTATAAAATGACACCATAAAACTGAATTGTGCATTCTATTACTTGACTCATCTGCATCGATCTTTTTTTTTCATTACACTAATTTATAATCTACGTATTAAACAACTTTAATCTTTTTAAACAATTATAATTCATTTAATCGACTACAATTGGCTAATCGTCATGACGATTCAACCATTGGTTTTGGTCTGATTAATCGTCAAGACATTAATAATCTTTGATACTTATATATAAGCATCTCATTTTTAATAATTTAAATTAAATTATTAAACTTGAAAAAGGGATGGATATGAGAGTCAGACGCAGTTATCTGTGCGTGAGTGATCAAATTACTGATTTATTCCATGTGTATACATTCGACGAACATTTCGGCTCGGGATTGAGCCATCCAGCAAGAAAAATAATTAAATTACTCCCCCTCTCCAATCCTGTTGAGCGAGCTTCAGGATTTGAAGATGAAAAACAACATTGACTATTAGATTGATATCTGTAATAAATGTTTCCGTTATCACTGACCACCGAATTAACTTTGACCATGAATTTGATTGGGAGAATGTTGAAATATTAGAGAACAATTTTTAGCTAAACGATTAGTGTCAGAAATGTCATGTATCAAGTTATAAAAGGACAGCCTTAATTCTCAAACGGATACAGAATTGCTCCATCACGCCTATGTATCAATATTAAATAAATTGTGAACCATGCCGGTTGCCGGTGCATATACTTTGTTATAATACGGACTACTTATTTTGTTTTTAAATTTTCTTATATTGTCGACCCTTATATCTCAGCTTTTATTTATTAAGGTTTGTTACCATGACTCGTAACATGACTAAACTAACGTTAGATATTTCGTGCCCGTCGTCCTGACCGGTTCGTTGATTCCGTTTCATTGTTAGTATTTTTTTATCTGTTCGGATCTTATATGCTTTTCTACATGGCTTTGTGATATTCCTTTTCTCCTGACTTTTGGGTGAGTTTAATAAGGTTGTACTAATTGACTCAATTTATAGAAAAACATTTATTACAGATATCAATCTTAGTCAATGTTGTTTTTGGATCTTCGAATCCTGAAGCTCGCTCAACAGGATTGGAGAGAGGGAGTAATTTAATTATTTTTCTCGCTGAAGATGGCTCAATCCCGAGCCAAAACGTTCGACGAATGTATACACATGGAATAAATCAGTGATTTGATCACTCACGCACAGATAACTGCGTCTGAGTCTCATAGCCATCTCTTTCAAGTTTTATAATTTCGAGAGTCCTTACTCATTATTTTATTAAATTATTAAATTTATTGTAAAAAATATTACCGCAGCCAGGGTTCGAACCTGGAACCTCTTTTATTCCGTGCAGGGCGTACCAATCGACCACCGAGGCATGTGGTAATATTTATTACAATAACACACTAAACAATAATAACATAGAGACACAATTCGACCATTGGTTTTGGTCCAATTAATCGTCAAGACCCGTGGTCAAGGCATTAATAATCTTTGATACTTATACTTATAAGCATTTTATTTTAAATAATTTAAATTAAATTATTAAATTTAATCGTGACGATTAGCCAATTGTAGTCGATTAAATGAAGTTTAATTGTTTATTATTTATTTGGCAAAATAAAAATGTACTTTCGGTTTGATTATACACCGCGACTTAAAATTTTATTGTTTAGTGTATTATTGCGA